TCTAAAATACTGTAAAGTAATTTTTTTGCACTTTTTTTCAAATTGATCTCAAGTAATAAAAACAACTTTTTCTTGAAAACCCATAACAGGTCCTTGTAGAGAATTTAACCAAGTTTTCAAAGTTACCTTTGGATTTACTGGGCAACAATTTCGTGTAGAGATATCGATGATTAAAGTAAAATGTGTTATTTTTCATTCAACAGTCGATATCTCGAGAACCAATAGTCGCACGAAGACCATGCAAAAATCAAATTGAAGCTCAATAAATAAGCTAACTGATTGTTTAGTTGAGTCTGAAAAAATTTCCCGAGTCCATGGACAAACAAATTTTAGAAAACTTTTTTTTCGATGTATTTCTTTTAATTGCATGATAGTCGTAGCTCAAACCAATTTTTTGTCTAAAAATCTTGAAACTATAGACTTAAAGAATCAAATTGTTTTTTTCTTTATCTTGATAAGACTATTTTTCACCATTTCCTTTAATTTTTTCCAGTAGTGTATAATAAATATTAAATAAACTTCCTTGTCTACTCTGGCTGTTAAAGTGCAGATTTAACTATTTCGAATGGAAATAATATTTTTACAGAAAAAGAGTATATTTTGATTAATTTTCTAATTTTATATTGTCTTAAATGAATGCCTCCTCAATACGATCACAGTGAATGATTTAGGTGAAAAGTTTAACACGCGTGATATCCTACGGGTTTTAAAGTATTCGGAAATTTGGCATTCTTATAAATAAATATGCTTGTTCACTTCTGCCAGACGGATCGTGGGCGCAAATATATGAAAAGGGGGATTTTGCTATATGCTGAATTGGATATATTCATACTTTTTGTCTTAATCCATGCTAAAACATCGCACTTGGTTTACGTTTACTTTTGAAATAAAGTTTTAAATATTAATACATAATCGATATCTTCTAATAGTGCATAAGTACTATTTTCGGTTTTCATGTACACAAACGTACTATTTCAGATTGCCACGACTTTGTTTGCATAAATTTTGTCAAATTTAGCAATAAATTATAAAGCACTTTTGGCAGGGGAAATAGGGAAAATGAGTAGAATACGAATACGCAATTAAAAATATTTTAAAATGCATAGGTATATTTACGCTGAAAAAAAAATTTCAAATCATTAATTAAACCCTTTTTCGAACCGCTCCTGACCACTGACCCACAAAGGTTTATCGCGAGTGAACCTTGATCCACTGTATTATTCGGTCACTAACTTAGTTTTTACTGCGTTTTTAATCCGACAAGGAATAAATAGATCTTTTTAACTAGACATATTTATGAATAAGATATTTTTTTACCTTATAAATATTAACAAGTATTAACAAGGTAAGATAGTTATTTTTAGATTAGCAACTTAAAGAAAATGTAGGCGCTTGAATCATCAAATCGATGCCTAGTTTAGCAACTAACGTACCTATAAAATAAATAAACAGTAAGTTTAGGCCGAAATGGAAAATATGATCGAGATTTCTACGGGCTAATTTCGTTATGAAATTCAAAACTGCTTTAAAACTTAAGCTTTAAGAGCATTCTATGAGTCGACTTAATCTCTTCTTAGTATTAAAGTAAGATTTAACCTTTTATAATATTGGTTTAATAATTTCAGAAAAGTTTTTCCACTTTAAGATGAAATCAACGGGATAATTATCCACCAACTCCTTTAATAGTGACAAGCATTTATATTCCTTCTAAATATATTAATCATTAATCCATTTTTTATGGTTTTAATAAACGGAAACAGAATATAGTCCGTACGATATTTATCGAGATAGAATTCCAAGACCCCTGCGTCACTTTCTTGGAATTAACCGCATTCGACATCCGAGGTACATTGGCGAAAAATTTCAAGGCACGCCCCTGCCCCGATAAACTGTTACAGTAGTTCCAATAACAGGACTCTATTGGCTTATTTTTTTCTTGGAATTCTATCTCAACAAATATCGTACGGACTATACTTTCAGTTGCAATATATTCCCATGAACTCTAGTCCTCAGTTTTAACCAGATTTATTCATTTTTATTAAGAACGCGCGTTAGTGTGAATTGTGACAATTTGAACTAATTTTCTGAACGGAGTGATAATTCTGTTTTATTGCAATTTACTCCTGTGTTGTTATGCTATTTGTATAGCAAAATGTGGACAAACAAAAAAATCCTGTGAAATCAGAATGTGCCATCAGAAAAACAATTGAACATAAATTTAAAAAGATATACGAAAAATTGATTTTTGGAGAAAAAAACAACTTTTTTACAGAACTGTTACATACATTAGACATATTTTTACGACAATCATTTTTATTTGTTCAAATCTTTTTTATATTTTTAGACGCGAGCATTCTGTTAAGATGGCTCTAACAAATAAATTCTCCGAGTGTCTCAAGCACAACAAAACCAACAACAGCTCAAACAGACAGTGTCATAAAGAAGATTCTCTTATTAAATAATTAATTGTACTTTTTTAAAACTTTCTTAAATATTTTCATACAGATAGCTATTTCAAATACATAGTATAAATTTTGTCTATATTTATAGAATAATGCATGTGATTTATTAATTATAGGTTTTTTAAATCGTTACTTCAACTTTAATCATTATCGTTCCACCTTTTTGACCAAATTTTCTTGTAGAAACAGTAGCTATAAAATAAACGTGAATAAAACACTGAAAATAGTCATTGGTTAACTGCTATGTGCTGTCTATTTGTATTACATATTATAAATTGTGTGCTGTTATGTAAAATAGGTAAATAAAAGACCTGTTTATGAAACTGAATTATATAATTTTGGAACCACAAAGTTTTTCCAATTGTCCAATACCTTTTCTAACAATACGTTTATTTATTTTTCATCATATTTTACATTTATGATAGTGACATTTTTGTCGTTTCAAAATTCGGATCAGCCACACAAAATAATCCTTCTCGTTTCCCTGTGCAAACCATCTGCAAATCAATTTGTGTTTTGAATTTATTTCTAATTTCACCTTCCTTTATGTAATATTTTTGAACGGACTCGGTGCTCCGGACATATTTGGACTTTCTCTCTTTAGTTTAAGGAACCTATTGCACTATCTCCATATTGTTTACGTGATGCTCTATAAAATAAAAATGTCCGTTAAACTTCATTGAAAATGAATCGTGCTTAGTATTCATTTATTTCCCAATGTGTATATGCATAATAACAAAAAATATCGAGTCCTACTTACGATATCTCTTTTACTACTCTAACCTCAGATGCACAAAAACGATCATTTTAATAACTTCACTTACATAGCACGAGTAAAATGTAACATACATATAACCACACTTATTGATCGGCGTCAACGGCAACAATGTCAACATGTCAATATGAATGACAGTCGCAGTGGCAAATTACCGCAACCAATATTACTTAGCCCGTCCTAGAACTAGTTTAATATGTCATCACCAATAAGATCGCGTTTCGAATCATCTTTAAATTTTAAAATTTTTTACCATTTTAAAAGGCATACAATTTACTAAAACAGTATATACAATACCAATTAATGTGTTATCTATGTTGTATATGCTATTTACTTTATAAAACTTCTTATTTGAACCAAATGCTGAATAATGGAAACAACCCTATTGCCATCAACGAATGCATATTTTTTTAAGCATGCGTTAATGATGTGAACATGAACATTACTATTTGATCGGTTATTTCACCTGTAAAATGACAAAATTATGACATATTATAAGATGGATTTGTAATTAAATATACTGTCTGATGCAACTAAAAATCATGAGGTTGGTAAGAAATAAGTATTTGCTAAATTGGTTTTAAATAACCGTCATCGAAACGTTTGCAATATGATCCTCAAAAAAATACAGGTAGTTTACTTCTCAAAAATGCGTTTTTTTGTCCATATCTTTCTTTTTTAAATTGATTCTGATTACATATTCCACGGGACTTTTTGTATTTGTCTACAATTTTTCCTAATAACTAAATAATGTCTATAAATGACTAGCGGCCCGTCCCGGCTTCGCACGGGTGGACATTTATTTTAAACATTTTGTGATATAAAAAATATAGCCTATGTTACTCAGAGATAATGTAGCTTTCTAATGGTGAAAGAATTATCGAAATCCGTCCAGTAGTTTTTGAGTTTATTCGTAACAAACATACATACATACAAAAATACAAATCTTTCCTCTTTATAATATTAGTATAGATAAGTACGAAAAGTAATAGAACAACAATTATGTACAATTTACATCTGCAGACAAAACCCTGTTATATAGATATAGATATAGATATAGAAGTATAGATAATTTATTTGGATAAGGATTAATAGAAAGACATGAATAACGTGGTCTATTAGACATTGTCTGGTTTTTGTTAACATTTCTTTCAAAAAAGTAGTTATAGTGACATAACTATAATATGTAGTTGGACATATGGTACCGCGAAGTTTTTTATAGATATTGATATGTTCTTTAATATTGTAGGACATTTTTTTGTTCTATCATTCATAGTTTCCGCAGCGCATGCGATGAAAGAAATTTTATGGCAATTTTTTTCATACTTTGGTTTACATTATTGAAGTTATAGTAGGGATCCCTATTTTTTCTAGTAAAAAATATAGCCTATGTTACTCACGGATAATGTAGCATTCTAATGGTGAAAGAATTATCGAAATCCGTCCAGTAGTTTTTGAGTTTATACGTAACAAACATACATACATACAAAAATACAAATATTTCCTCTTTATAATATTAGTATAGATAAGTACGAAAAGTAATAGAAGAAGAATTATGTACAATTTACATCTGCAGACAAAACCCTGTTCTTATGACCTATTATTGAGTGGCTAACAAGACACGGCAAATAAAAAGCACTTCCTTTCTAAAAGCACTGTAAATTGTTTCAAATGTCCCACGCTTTCTCTTCCGCATTAGTGGCAATAATTCGTGAACCCGACCGTAGCAAAACCGTCAATAAATGTTGGCTGATCTGTTCCAGATAACCCTACACATATCATACGTGCACGCCATCGTCAACCCCACGCTGTTCCTCGTCCTCCACAGGGGCCTGCGGCGGGCCATGCTGGACCTCTGCTGTGGCTGGATCCCCGTATGGCTGGGGTCGCCCAACGTGCCGCCGCCCCCGGACCCCCCCAGATCGGACATATCTCTGCTGAAACCACCCCTGCCCATACCCGCCCATCCCGATAGCTCTATGGTAATTAAATATTATATGTAAGTGGTGTAAACGGCATGTCTTTTCCCATTCTCTATGTGCGAGCTTTCAGTCAGATGTAGAATTACGCAAAAGTTTTAAAAAACAGTTCAGCAATTGCTATGGTACTTATAAAATATATTTCATACCAAAACTCCGTCTGACTGATCGATAAACACATTTCGTTAAATAAAGTTTTACATGCCTAAAAAAGTTTTTCAGAAATGTGTACTCACCATTGTATTAGTGACGTCATGATTGTTTTTTAAATATTGTTTAAAAAAATTGCTGTTCTACAAAAAAAATGTGACGGACGAGCGCACATATCCAAACTTGCAGGGTGTTTCAAAAATCGATACTATTGCTAACTTCATAATTATTTAAGACTGAAAATCAAACGAAAAACAGCCACACCCTGTATATTATTATAACATATTTGTATACAGTGTTTCTTCAGGTTTACAATAATACAACAATAACAATAATAATCATAATGAACATAACAACAGGTAAGTATAATGCAAAGATATTGGACGGAATAGAGAGAACAGGAACTGCAATTTATCTGCGCAACTTTTTCTGTGCAGTTTTCCGCGGCTAGATGATTTAATTGGAGAAATTATTACTTTAAAGCAGACTAAACTTGTAGTGCAACTGTACAATTGAGCTGCTCAACGACAAAATAGAGTAATGATGGTGGGAAATTGGAGTGAGGAATTGCACAGCATGTTTCTTCTTAAGGGAGGCGTTTTTATTTTACCTCGTGAATTTTGTACGCCAGTTGAACATACAGAAAATCATGTACGGTACTATAAACAAAATCACACCCCGCAGAATGCTTTTATGAAACTATTAACACATGTATTAATCACAATTATTGAGTATCGTTACAAAGCTGGACAAAACAGGAAAGGTATATTTTCTGATGTTTACATGTTCTCCGTGATCTTTCAATACGAAGAATTAAAGGAAGTTGCTCTAATTTAGTGTTACTATTTGTCACTTCCTGGATGGATCTGTTTGTTTTGTCATTGTTTTACTATAAGTGCGATTTTTTGTCTATAAAACAAGGCTAGCCTTAAATCTATGATGTAATGTGACAGAAAAATACTCGATAACCAAGCGACTTACCAATCTCCTTCAACCCTCATTCTAAAACTTTACTATTTATATTATTTTAAAAATATTAAATTAATACAAACAGAATGATTTCTTTTGTAGAAAATCTTATTTATTGAAGTCAAGAAATTGTCTTGAATACCAGAAATCGAGGTATGCAAAAAATTATAACTCCACAGACTAGGTTAATTATTGATATGGCGGGAAACAACTACTCTATAAGTTGCATGCCCCAACTAACACAGATTTACTATATAACTAAAATTTTATTAAACAGACTATTTAACTAAAATAAAAACTGAAAATATTAGCAAAATACGCATACCTCATATATAAGTAAAAAAAAACAATTTCATACTACAAAGAGATCGCTTTTATTCCACATTTTTCTTAGAATTGTTTCAGGTAGTGTTCTTTCCTATGGAATTAACAAATATTAATAGAACTAAATTACATATAAATATTACTATATCTTTTGCATACCTCTGGTATCAAAGAACATGAACATTTTTTCACTTTATTTAATAGGATTTTTTAGAAAACATTTTTAATTTTGTTTGAATTCGTTTTAAAATGAAATAAAAAAATACTAGAGCTAATAATGGATTTTTGTAAAATACATTAATTTACCTTATCTTTAAAGGTCGGTTATGCTTTAAAACATAGTAGTCCTGAAAACGTTCTATTGTACCTCAATGAAATGATAGTATCGTGTGTAGTGTCGTTAATTTAAAACACCTTGTATAAGGTGTTAAACTGCGTAAAGATTTAGATATAGAATTAAGTTGTCTGTTGTACAAAATAAAATAAAAATTCTATATAAAAAATTACAGATCAAACAAATTGAAATAGGTAATAGCTATTAATAGCATGCTATTAAGGAAGGACAAGTCACCATTAAATTTTAATTGCTAGGCTGATTTTAATTTTGTTTACTGTCTAATTAAAAAGACAAAAAGACCATATCAATTAGTTAAATAAACCACCTCTCCATAGTAATTTTTTTCTTAGACATTTACACGACCAATTTGTCGAAGTTTTTCACCGTTAATTTTAAAACGAAATGAAAATATAATAGGAATTCATCACGTCAAGGAACTTGTGGTCAAACTTTTTTAAAAATTCGCTAGTTGATATAACATTATCCCATTGTTAGGTACTTGACTTGACTGTATAATATTAATTATCTTATTTATTCTAAAAATATATTTTTTTACTGTTAGGATTAAGTAATTTTATTTTTTTTTGACTCAAAATATTTGAAGTCAATATGACGTTTTTCTTTCGCAATCTAGCCAAAGTTTCCTTGTTAACACTAAAATATTTTATTACTGTTGAAAAGTTTTCCACAGCTGTTGTGTTACATTCTCAGAATTCTCCATAACACAATTCTCATAACACATAGCACAACAATTCTATAAAAAGTCTCATGTGAAAGACGACGAATTCATGCATTTGTAGTTTATGTTGTTGTCTGAAGTTATTTATTTGTGGCATCTTTTTCGTTTTTTTTTCTTAATTTTTTGGGTATTTTGCCACCTGTGAGAAAATTAATTAATTAATTAATTAATTAATTAATTAATTAAAAAAATTTGCGCCAAAAGTATCAGTCAAGGGTTATTTTTATGAAAATGGTTTTTCATAACCAAAAAATCTCTCACTGAAAAAATACAATATAGTATAAAAAACACATCCCTTTGTTTCGCGCACTTTAAAAAGTTGTTGACATTTCAAAAAACGATCTGTTTTCGTCTTCTGAATTTTTTTGACATTTCGTATAATTGCTTTGACAGTTTCTTTTAGCTGTCAAAGTAATTAAACGAAAAGTGAAAAAAATACAAAAGACGAAAACAGAGAGTTTGTCTAAGATTTTTTGGTTAGGCAAAACTTTTTCATAAAAATAACCCTTGATTGATCCTTTTGACATAAAGATTTATTTAACTAAGTTTTAAATTTTTTTCGCAGGTGGCAAAATACCCAAAAAAATAAAGAAAAAAATTAGTTCATGCTTTACTTTACTAATCTAATATTTTCACAAACAAAAATGTTAAACGGCATCCTAGGAAACGATCAAAAAACGCCTTGTATCTCTGAAGCGAATCAAGATAATATAGAGAAGTGGTTTTCACTATAGAACATTTCTTGAAAATCGAGGTAGTGTCATTTAAACTACTTTTTTCTGTTATTTAACAGAAACCGTCCAAAAATGTTTAGTTTGGTCCACTCTGTACAATTTTTTGTAATCCTACAGCCATTAACTAAGTCTAATTCGGTATTAAATTAAATTTCTTGTGCGAGTTTTTAGTTTACACAATGACCCCATATAAGAACGATTCGCTCCTTTTCTGAGTAGGTACTATAATTTGATACAGCAATGATGTTTGTTAGTACAATTATACAGGGTGATTCGGTCATAATGTCAATAATTTTAAAAGAAGATAGGGAAAAATAGATTAGAATACGAATAAGCAATTAAAATGCATATTCACCCTGAAAAAAATATTTTCAAACCATTATTTAAACACCTTTTCGGACCGCTCCTAACCGCTGACCTACAAACGTTTATCAAGAGTGAATATGGCCTACCGTATTCGGTCAGTAATCTAGCTTTTACTGCGTTTTTAATTATGAACGATAAAAATTAGATCTTTTTACCTAGACACATGAATGAATATTTTTTTTATATTTTTATGAACTGTTATTTATTTGTTAATAAAAACAAATGTATAAGTATAATAATTATTCGCGAATGTTAGGTTATTGTAATTTAGAATTTATAATATTGTACGTTTTCTCTGTTTTATAATTGAATATGGATTTTTAGTATTATGTTCAATAGACTGGCCCAAAAAAAATCTATTTTTTTTAAAGATATATCGAGAATATCATTCAGAATATCGTCAGAGTGTGAGCCCTTAATATTAGTTTGAAGAGGTCTATCATCCCTAATTTCGATTTTTATTCCTGATCCCATTTTTGCGTCAAAACTGCCAAACCATCGAGGTAAAAAAATTTATCTACATATATTTTTTAAGGAAATTGAATGCCCTATAAAAAAGGTTTGATTGAAAATTTTCGGCAGACGAGCCGATTACATGTAATGAAGCCTTGAAAATTGATGTTTTTTCGATTTGACTTTTTAACTTTGGAATTTTCTAAATAACGAACAAATTAATATCTGAAAAAGAGCAATACAGATTTTCAAAGGAAATTTAATGATCTATAAAGAAGGTCCCTTAACATTTTTGCATAACATATATGTAGATAAATTTTTTTACCTCGATGGTTTGACAATTTTGACGCAAAAATTGGATCAAGAATAAAAAATCGAAACTAGCAATGATAAACTTCTTAAAACTAATATTAAAGGCTCAAACTCTCACAGGATTTTTTTTTCGTCATTTTGAATGACGATATATCTTTCAAAAAAAAATTGTTTTTTGGCCTAGTCTAATATTCAATTAATTATTCAGTTGTAGTACGTATACCTTATTGTGTGATTTATTGCTTTTCATATGGTACCTTATTACCCTCCTTATTCGTATGGTACCTACCTAGAAAAATGCCAGTACGGTTAAAATAACACTCATCTGTCCATAGCACTTTGTTAATAAAATGATGATCCACTGCACTTTGATTTTGAAACCAATTGCAAAATTTAAGACGACTGGGGAAATCAGCTGTTTCGCTTCAACGGTCGAACGCTCTGTGGTGCGCTGGCACATTCTCAGTCAGCAAATGCGTTGCAAACTAGGGCGACGAATTAACGGGAGTTAAGGGGTAATTTGCTTATTTCTTTTTCGATTTTCTGTCTTAGGCCTTACGACAACCTAGTTAAAAATTAATGACATTATGACTGAATCACCCTGTATCACATATTCCAA